CTGGCCAATTCTTTCAGGCTTATCTTGGTTTGCCCCATGTAGAATTGTTCATGGAACAATCTTTCCAACTGGGTCCAATGATGGATCGAATTGGGGGGCAGAGTTGTAAACCAAGTAAAAGCGTTCTTTGTTAAAGAACTTGGGAAGTACTTGATCCTCAGGTTTTCGTTATTCGAAATGTCACCTGCTTCGATCAAGTATCTCGCCACATGCTCGACAGTAGATTCTGTCGTGTCCCCAGAGAACTTAGTAAATTTGGGGACTTTGCATCTAGGAGGTAAGTCTGTTTGTAACACGTATTCTGACAATGGGGATGTAAAGTTGGGCCTTCGAAAGCCCATGTTCATCCCATTTTGAGTCATGATCCTTTCGATCATGGTTGCCAGATTATTTTCCAAACCCGTATTCTGGTATTGGATATGCTGGACTACTTCGTCAGCATTTTGATTTCTGTTAACTAACCTTACCTCTGGGGTTATTACCCTAGGTTCCTCGACGGGTTGCTCCAATCGTGCCCTAAGGTTTTCTTCGACAGGCTGTTGAGCCTGGTTGATGGTGGTTTCTTCCTCTAAGAATATCCCCTGGTTTCCCCTTATTTGCGCCCTTTGGGGCTGTCGAACAGGTTGGGGTACTCCAAAGAAATCAGTCAAACGCGTCATTTGCGCTGTCACTTGCTGATTCGATTGAGTAGTGTTTTGTATTAGAGGGTTTAGCACTGTACTCAAAGTTTGTGCCAACATTTGCACCATATCATGGTTGCTTTCGTCCATTTGTTGCCTCAAGACTGCTGTCGAGGCATTTGTAAGGCCATGGGCTACTTGGGACGTTCCTCCTAAGAGTTGGGTCCTATTTCTATTCGCCATGCCTACTCCAGAACCTTGGAGTGGCGAAGAGGCACTCACTAAAGGGTCTGAAAAAGTGGACGCAGCATTCGTCAGGCTAGCCAATTCAGAAGTTGGCATACCATAGAGTGGCATAAATCCTGGTGGAACAAAAGGCCTTGTGCCTAAATTTCCCCTTGGTGGGGGAGTTCCCAAAGGCATCCTGGGGCCCGTGAACGAAGGTGATGGCCCCGTTGCTGTGACCGTTACTGGTGGTGTCGAACCAACAGTTGTCGCTTCACTTACGGTCGTACTAACCGTTGCTCCCACACTCGTTTGTGGGATTTCGTTATTGTTTGGCGGATTCGCCATCTCTTCCCTTCTTCTGGCAGTATTGTTATCGTTAGTGTATATTCTACCACTTCTCAATAACATACAACACTCCTCGAAAAGATGAGATTATTTTCAACAACCAACACACAGTCCCACTGGGCGTGCCAATTTGTTTACCTTGGTTTTTGGTAAACAACCGCTGATCCTCCAAATGGTTACTTATTTGGTTACTCGCAGGATCGATCAGATTGATCCTAGGACATAGGTTGATTTTGAAGTTTGATTAAATTGGATATTGGTTAAATGACAATAAAATAAAGAGGCTTTAAGTAAATTGCATGAAGAAAGGACTTGGTAAAATAAATAAGGCTTTAAATGAAAGGGTTCGACAGGAAAGTAAAGAAGAAAGCAAATAAATTTCTGAGAAAGTAAATGACTTTGATTAATAAAGTTGGTGTTTCACACATACATTTCTCAACAATTCTTTCTCACACGCTGGGTACTCGAATCTATATGAGTGACTTTGTATAGAATTGTGAACACACGCGAGAAACTACATGACTACTACTATTTATACTAAAACATCCCAAGTAACCGTCGGGCAGTTACACTGCTTCGAGATGATTCCACTTGGCACGTTCTCAACGTTCGATGCTCCAGATCTTCGCACGTTGCAATTGGTAACCGCTGGAAACCGTTTTCCCTCCAAACGCTTGAATTTCAAACTGCTCCACTCTGAACCATCGAACACCTTCGTCGAGAAGCATCTTCGACGAGAAACTCCTTCGACGTCGAAGGCAACCAACTTCTCCCTTGGAAGAAATCTTTTAAATACCTTGCCATCTTTCGATGGGCATTTCGACAGACCTAGCTAGTCGAAAACATCCTTCAGCTTTAATGGCTGACATTAATAAAACAAGGGTGTCGAATTTAAGAGCCAACAGTCCCTACCAATCACACCTCAACCATTACAGCTGGTTTAGGAAAATTTATCTATGCTGTTGGAAATAAGAAATTGTTTGATTATGGTGCTCACATTTTTAATCATACTATTAAGCATGCATGAACCTGTGCTATCAAGATGCCTATTTCCTTTCTGTCTCTTATTTGTGGAATTATTCTTAATCAATATCCTAGAATTTTGAGTGGTAATGATGTGGTTTACAAGAGGGAGTCTGCTATGACCCTTCACTTCAAGTTGTTTTCAATAAAACATGTCCCAGACATTGTTTTTACATCTGCATCTTTTGAAAACAATACCTCAACCAAGGATGACATGATTACTGAATTAATGGAAGCCTGCAAAGAACTTGATGATATGATCATAGTTAATTCACCAAGAAAGCTAACTTTTGAAAAGATGATCAAGGAGCTGCAAAAGGACAACGGTTTTGATGATAGTGTGGATAATAAATGAAGTGAATCTGATAGTGAAAGAAGCTCTGAAACTACCAAGTCTACTGGTCCTGAAGACAGTTAGACTTTGTGCTGGTGTCTCCTTTTTGTTCCTTCTTTTTTTTTTACCCCTCTGTTCCTTTTTGGCACTTGTATGTGCTTGACTCTTGGATTCTATGGTTTGTACTTATATTACTAATACTCTCTTTAATGCATGTTTTTTATTTGGCATGTCATGTCTAGAAAGAGGGAGAGAAATTGACTGACCGACCACTGATTGAGGGGGAGATTAATGTTTGAGGGGGAGCCTCATGTTTCAGAAGATGTTCTGACATCTTCCTCTGCTAACAGCTAACTTAGTTACTTTTGCCAACTGCTAACTGAGTTTTGTTTTGCTTGTGTTGCTGCTCTGATAATGCTCTAATAATGTGCTCAAATAATGTTTTAGCCAAATTTTGCCAAAGGGGGGAGTTTGTAAGTGTTTGTTGGCAGCAATTTTGGTAAAACACTGACTTGACAATGTTTTGCTCAATGCCTTGACATTTGAAGCAAAATGGTTTTGAATGATGTCAAAGCAGATGTCTTGATATCTTCCTCCTGATCTGAACGTGACTTCATATTTGTTTCCAGTATTCTGTTTCATGTTTTTATTTGCGCCATTATTCAGGATTTGTGACTCATAGCTTGCGAAAAATATGGAGTAATATTTTTCTATTTGTATTATCCTTATGGATTATATCTTGGTCTATTTTCATGGAAATATTCAAGGGATTGGAATATTTGTTTTTCAGCCCAAGCCCACTACAGTGCCTTTATAAGGACTTGCACCCTTATTCATTTGAATACAACTTTTGAAGAAGAATATATTCTTTCTGTTTTAGAAGTCTAAGTCTTTTTAATTGTAATACACTCTAAGTATCAGTTTAATACTTGAGTTGTAATTTGCGTTGTTAATTATGGATCATTCATAAGCTTTTAAGTATTGAATGATTGAAGTCTTTGAAACTTAATATTTCTCTTGTTCTTCACTATTAGTGATTGAAGGGATTTGAGGAGGGCCTCATACCTAGGTGTGTGTTATACCCCAATTTTTTCCCCTAAGACCCCTCATCATGCTCTGTACATCTCACACATAGCATTGGTCCCAGGGTTATAAGATCAAAGAGCTTTGGCATTAGGGTTTCTCTCTCTGAATTGAGGTTGTTGTCTTACTCAAAATTGATTCAGCTGGTGCTCTCATTATTCTTGGTATGAGATTTGGGTTTTGGATTTCAAGCAGCATAAATGTCTTTGCTATCCGGTTTCCTCAAGATACAAATTTTTCTTCATCAGAGTTCTTTCAAGGAACAAAGACATTAGGGTTTAACTCAGCCAGAGAATCAGGATTTCTCTTCATTTTATTTGAGCTTGGTAGTGATTCTTCTATGGAGGTTTATTGAATTAATGTCTCACTTCAAGGCTACATTGAGCACTACTCTTCCCCAGTGATTATATTTGTTACATGGTTAAGGATTGATTGAAGATTTCATCAAGATGATTCTTGGTGCTTAAGCTGTGAATTAAGGTAGGATTACTTCCTGAATTCTGATTAAATTGAAGATCCAGATTAAGGGTTTCCTTAGAGCTGATTTGAAGATTCGTTCAAGAAATTCCTTTAAGCCCAGATTAATTCAAGAAAATTCATATAATGGTTTGCGTGGAATTCAAAGTTGGTGATTCAAATATCATTCAAAGTCAATGTGAATCCAAGTTCGTCTTATGAGAATTTCTTTAAAGGAGAATTACTTGAAGTTTAGGACATTTCTCATTCATTCTGATTCTATTCAAATTCCTTTCAAGTGAATATTTTGGTGTAATTTGTCAAATGGATTTATATTGTAAAGATGGAAGGCTTGTTCAAGACTTAACTCAAGCATCATACTGGTACGGATCCAAAACCTTCATCATCCATTATTCGGGATGCCAAACTTTATGGTTCATTCTATATTGCCAAATCAAAGAAAATATTTCGAATTTCTAAATGTAAATCAGAGGAAGCTTTGTTCATTATTATCCTCAAATCATTACACGGGGAAATACTCAAAACAAAAAAAAGAGAGAGAGAAGGAATTGCAAGACAAAGTTTCTCTTACAAGGCAAAAAGAACCATTTTAATACACAAAATCACAAGATAATCGATAGTTCTTACATGGAGATTAAATCAAATAAGGTTGAAGATTTCAAGTTCATGGTGAAAAAAGAAGTTTCAAATTTAGGGAATTTCATCAATTGAATTCAAGTACAAAAGGCTTTATTCATTTGTTATTACAAATTCTATCCAAACATCCATTCAAGTTTCAAAACACAGTCCATTATGTCATGAAATATTACAGGAAGGGAAATGTAAAGGAAAAATAATACAAAATCTAATTCTATTTTTCAAGTGGTTTAACTCCAAGATTTTTTTTGGGTCTAAAGCTTTACGCCGTGTCCAAGATTCAAAACTTGCATCAAGACGGATGCCAACCTGCTGCCCAGATTCGCCTTGCCCTGCTCATGACTTAGTATACTAGAGTCTGTTGCAAATCAAAACAGGAAAAAAAATATAAGTCAAACCAAGAGTTAACACACTGCAAAAATTAGTTTGAGGATAACCGTACAATAAAACCAGCTACCAAATCGGCCTTGCACCATTCGAAAACAAAACCACCCTGCGCTTACTCCTAACATAGCTAACATTTCCTAACTGTCATCTCTAACTAACTTCTAACCATACTAACTGCAACCAAACAGAAAAGGCATAAAACAAAATGGGGAGAAACAAGTTCAAAGATTGCAGTCCATAACAAATAACAGAATTCCTAACAGAATCACTAACTAAAAAACTAACTCCTATCAGTTTGAATCTCATCCAACAATCTGTAACCGAAATTTAGAAGCCAAGGGTTGAGATCTCATTACCTCTAACAAACTTGCAGCAAGTATATAAGAGAACTCCAACAGAATTGAGGGGGATGGGTTGATTCCTAATAGCAATAACATAAATATAAAACAAAAAAAACTCACCAGATTCGGGGGATTCTTCAATTCTGCAGAAAAATCTTCAACCTTCTCTCTTCTCCTCTCATCTTCATTATTCAACCACCAACAAATCACATGAGAAAAAAACTCCAAAAAATATATCTACACTCTATCTTTCTGAAACTTCATTGAAGCTTCTCCATCAACCTGCTTTGATCTTCGATCTTCAACACCTCCTTCATCATATTCATTGATTCAACATCATCACCAACCTTCGATCTACAACAATAACGTATATCATCATCATTATTTCAAGATCAATCTCAATAATAACAATTCCGCTTCAGCATCAACATATATGCATCTGCTACTTTATTGTGCAACGAAATCAGAGTTTCATCATTAACGATTTCAACATCACATAAACAATTTCAAGCTATCGTGCAGAATAATAACATCTCGCACCAAAAAATGCGATGAACTTGAAAGTGCGCAGAGAAAAAAGCTCATAGAATCAGAAGAACGAGAAGAAGAAGAGTCTAGGAGAAAATGGGGAAAAAGGAATTGAGAAGATAAATAATTGAATTGGAGAAAGAGACTCACCAGAAAACTCACTCTAAAATCTTCATCTTCAGTTTTCACTCTTCAGAATCTAAAAAACTTCATCTTCAACCTCCCTTATTCTTGAACCTGACTTAGAACTTTGGGTGCTCTCATTCCAGAATCGTCACCCTTTCTTCTATGCACCTTAATCAACCTTTTTCATCAACTTCTTGAATCGAGTATTTGACACTGCATCAATGCTTCACCATTCAGGAGCATCAGTTTTTATTCGCTCTCTCCATATCCTTAATCAACCTCATCTTCTTCATAAATACATCCATATTCATCAACATTGTAAATCATATTTCATCGCAAAACATAAACATCACATTGAAAAATATGAAGCAGAGAGATGTAAAAGACAAGAAGATAAACGAAACCGACGAAAATGATGTGCACCTGATTTCCATCTCACAGAGTTTTTTGAGTTTCTCGACATCGGCATCATCGTTGAAGAACCACCTGAGTTCTTCAGTAGGTAAAATTCTTTTAATCACCTATGTTATTCTTTGTTCCGTTTGAAAGAGAAATACGAATCGCGAATGAAAGAAAATCGGTGCTCAGCTTGAAATAAGATCCGCAGCGGAGAGCTTGATCTGAGACGAAGGGAGAGTGTAGTTGGAATCAATAAATATGATTCACGACCATCAAAGACAGATATCAGTGTTGCAATCGTGAGTCTGGATGTTGAAAATTGATACCGAGGAGGATCGCTGATGAGAGCGATGATGACAAAGGCGAGGTTGCGTATTTGTTGAAGCTGGGCGACGAAATAAACAAGAAGAATTGCGGCGGGATCGAATGAGTGAAGTGGCTAAGTGGAGTTGAGTGGCAGCGTTTGTTTCGATCGGAGATGAGACGGACGAATGTAATCGAGTGAGGGTGATTCACAGCGGCGGAGATGGTTCAAAGAAAAGTTAGGTCGCGGCGCTGAGTTATATGTGGAGCAAATTTGCTTTTGAGAAGGAGAAGGTGGAACCTTATCCCAGACCAAACACAGTATTTCCATTGGATTCTCTTTGTATTGTTTTTTTTAATGATTCATTCTTTCTTCAGTAAAATCAAATAATAAAATAAGATAATATTGTCTTGAATTGGATGTGGATTGGGCTTAACCATTACCTTTTGCACCTGTGATCCGATTTCATACACTCCTCTGTTTAGAGTTGTTTATTTTCGTTTAATCTTCTTTTCTTAAATTCTAGATAGTAACATTAGGATTATAATTGATGATAAAAGGTATAAAATTAATAAAAAGTTGTTAGTTTTTATTTGATTTTGGAAATTAATTCAGGATCCGATTCTTTGAAATTTGTAATTCACCTTTGTTAGTTGAGATTTGAGTCTAATGCAGGTTTATCGCACGATATGTGGATGCGTTTGAGATTTCGATTGTGATTTATTTTCACATCAATAAAGCTTCAATACATATTCCAAATATTCGATCTCTGACTGTTTGTTTGTTGATGCCAGCTCGCGCGAAGTATTCTGAGTCTCTTTCCTTTGGTTGCACTTTTTGCAGACTTTATTGTTCGTTTGGTATTATACTACTTCCAAGTTATACTTCCGCATTTATCGCTTTCTAGATATCATGAGAAGTAGGAAATAAAGAGCGTGCGCTCGAAGTCGCTGTTTAAAGACCAGTAGCAGGTATTTCGCATTTCATTTCTTATATGTGTTGTGTTTGCGTTTGTTTTCTTTCTTGTTGACCGATGAGTCACTCAATTTAGAAATTGAGATCACGACTTCGCTCTCAGTGCATGCTCCCTATAGGATTTTATCGCTTTCCTTTATTTCTTGTTGATCGATGAGTCACTCAATTTAGACGTTGAGATCACGACTTCGCTCTCAGTGCATGTTCCCTATAGGATAGTTTGTTAGACTTTCTTTGGCATGCTAACTTAGATAGGATCCCTCATTGTATGATAACGTTAGGTTAGAGATAGGTTAGTCTCCCTTAAATGTTCTCTTCCCATTTTTGCATAATTGCACTTAAAACTAAAACTTCTTTTTCTTGGTAAATATATAAGAAACGCTAAGCATACAAAAAATTCTTTTCATGGTAAAAAATACCAACCAATCCATTTCTTTTCGCCATTCGGATTTTCTCCTCTAAGAGCATGTTAGCTCCTTTCCACTACAGGTCATAAGTCTCCAAAGGTAGAGCAGAGGTGGAATGATCGAATGCAACATTGTTCATTTAAAAAAAACAAATCAATAAAATATATGAGTCGAACTACGGTGCTCTAATTCCTTAAAGGGGATACGTAGGCATCTGGTCATGGGGCTCAGCCGAGCGAAAATTTGTAAATACTTCATTCTTTTCCCCGTGTTTTATTTGCATGCATTCTCTCTTAGTTTATAACCCTTAAGCATTATATTGAACACACCCTTTGATTAGAATAACGAGAGTGGATCCCGTAGAGTACTATGGACGTGTGGGGTGATAATACCTTCCCCTCGTGTAATCGACTCCCTTACTCAATCTCTCGGTTGCAAGACCTTGATTTCCCCCTTTAGGTTTTTCTTCGATGATTTTCCTTTCCCTTTTATGGGATAAATAAATACTCGGTGGCGACTTCATTGATTTTACCGCTACAGTGTGTATTAGGTAGAAGTATAGCACGGGTAATGATTAAGTGATTAGATCGTAAACTGGTTGTTTACTAATGGTCTATGAATTGATACTATTTAGTGGACTTGTCCTTGGCTTGGTATCCCCCAGAGTAGGTGTTATTGTACACTGAACTGGGTTAACAATCCCTTGTGTTTTTAATGCTTTTAATTTTGTTGCATTTTATATTGTCCTCGGTTATTTGTGTCATGACATCTCCTTCGACATCACATATCTGGTACCAAAATTTTACAATGACCCTACACCCTATCCCAACTTTGAATATCCTGTATATGTGGCCAAAGGAGAAGAATATGATGAAATCCCAGAAGAGGTTTCACGGTTGCTTGAGCGCAAGGAAAGTACCATTCAGTCGTATAAAGAGCTGTTGGAGATGATTAACTTGGGTTTAAAGAAAGATCCAAAGGAAGTCAAGATTGGAGCACTGCTTTATCCCGATGTGAAGAGCAGGTTGATTGAACTGTTGAAAGACTGTGTGGATATCTTTGTTTGGTCTTATCAAGACATGCCTGGTTTGGATGCTGATATTGCGAAACATTATTTGCCGCTAAAGCCAGAAAGTCCACCAATCAAGCAGAAGTTTCGAAGAACTCATCCCAACATGGCAGTGAAAATTAAAGAAGAAGTTTTGAAACAGATTGATGTTGGTTTTCTTATGAAATCAATATACCCTCAGTGGATTGCCAATATTGTTCCAGTAGCAAAGAAATACAGAAAAGTTCGTATGTGCGTCGATTATAGAGATTTAAATAAAGCTAGTCCAAAAAGATGGCTTTCCATTGCCATATATTGATATGATGGTTGACAGTACAACAAAATTCGAAGTGCTTTCGTTCATGGATGGATTTTACGGATACAATCAAATTAGAATGGCTCCTGAGGACATGGAAAAAAACTTTTATCACACCCTGGGGAACATTCTGTTAGAGAGTGATGCCCTTCAGGTTGAAAAACGCTGGTGCAACGTACCAGAGGGCTATGACAACCCAATTCCATGATCTGATGCACAAGGAAATTGAGGTATATATTGATGATATGATTGCCAAATCTCAAACTGAGGAGGGGTATATAGAATACTTTTTGAAATTGTTTCAGTGTTTGAGGAATTATCGTCTCTGCTTAAATCCAAATAAGTTTACTTTTGGTGTTCATTCTGGAAAGTTGCTAGGTTTCATTGTCAGCCAAAAAGGAATTGAAGTTGATCCTGATAAAGTTAAAGCAATTCAAGAAATGCTTACACCAAGAACTAAATCAAGTTAGAGGCTTCCTTGGACGTTTGAATTACATATCCACGTTTATTTCCCACATGACTGCAACATGTGAACCGATCTTTAAGCTGTTAAAAAAAGATCAAGGTTGTGTGTGGACAGACGATTGCCAAAGGGAATTTGAAAGTGTAGCGGTAAAATCAATAAAGTCGCCACCGAGTATTTATCTATCCCACATAAAGGGAAAGGAAAATCATCGAAGAAAAACCTGAAGAGAGAAATCAAGGTCTTGCAACCGAGAGATCGGGTACGGGAGTCGATTACGCGAGGGGAAGGTATTAGCAGCCCTCACGTCAGTAGTACTCTATAGGATCCACTCTCGTTGTTCTAATGAAAGGGTGTGTTCAATCTAATGCGTAAGAGATAAAAATAAAAATGCAAAAATGGAATGCATGCAAAGAAAATACGGGGAAAAGAAGGAAATATTTACAAATTTTTGCTCGGCTGAGCCCTATGACCAGATACCTACGTATCCCTTTTAAGGAATCAAAGCGCCATAGTCTGACTCACAAATTTTGGTTTGTTTGTATTTTTTAAATGAACAATGTTAAACTCAATCATTCCACCGCCGCTCGACCATTTGAGACTCACGCACTGTAGTGGAAAGGAATCAACATGTTCTTAGAAGAGAAAAGTCGAATGGCGAAAAGAAATGAATTGGTTGGTGTTTTTTACCATGAAAAGGATTTTTGTATGGTTAGCTTGTTTTATACATTTACAAAAAAAAAAAGGAAGTTTTACTTTTAAATGCAATTATGCAAAATGGGAAGAAAAACACCAAAGGGAGACTAACCTATCTCTAACCTAGTATTACCATACAATGATGGTCCTATGTCAAGGATGAAAATGGAAATCTCTACCCTAAGTTAGCATGTATGGATAACTATCCTAATGTCTAACTCGGAAGCTACCCTAATCGAGCGACCCTAAGGGAATATGCAAAGATCGAAGTCGTTATCTCAATTCTAATTGAGTGACATCATCGATCATCAACAAAGGAAAATGGAAATCCTAAGGGGAGCATGCCAAGATTGAAGTCATTATCTCAATTATAATTGAGTGACATCATCGATCATCAACCAAGGAAAATGAAAACCCTAAGAGGAGCATGCAAAGATCGAAGTCGTTATCTCAATTCTAATTGAGTGACATCATTGATTTTCAACAAAGAAAAATGAAAATCCTAAGGGGAGCATGCAAAGATAGAATTTGTTATCTCAATTCTAATTGAGTGACATCATTGATCGTCAACCCGTGAAAACAAACACAAACACAATTAGCAAACAAGTGCAGAATGCCTGCTACAAGTCTTTAAACAGCGACTTTGAGCGTACACTCTTTATTTCCAACTTCTCATGATATCTAGAAAGCAATAAAATGGGGAAAGATAATTTGGAAGTAGCATAATACCAAATGAACAATAATATCCACAAAAAGCACAACCAAAGAAAAGAGACCCGAGATACTTCGCGCGAGCTAGCATCACCAAACAAACAGTCTGAGACCAAATACTCGGAATAAGTGTCGAGGCATCATCAATGTGAAAGTAAATTACAATAAAAAACTCAAGCATATCCGCATATCACACACTAAACCTGCATAAGACTCAAATCTCGACAAGTAAAAGTCAATCACAAGTCTCGAGTAATCGGATAATCACAAGTTAATTCCTAAAAAAATGTCTCCTAAAGTCTAACGTTTTTTGTTTTTATTAACAAAATTGTTATCTAACAATTATATGAAGAAAAAAAATAAAGAAAAGCTAAAACCAACTCTACACAGGGGTGTAAACTGGATTCGGGTGTGTGGTCCAGAAACACCAGGCGCTAAGGCCTACCAGAAATAGATCCAATAACCATTTTTTTGTGTCATCATCTAGTTACCAAAAAAAACAAGGGTGCCATTTGGGCTTAAACAAGTGTGGTTCGGCCCTAGGGAATTGTATGATCCGGTCCAGCAAAAACGATAGCGTTTAGAGACTTCTATTAGGGTCACAAACAAGTGACGCTCCAACTTCTTGAGAAGAAGTGATCCCCTTCCTTCATCAACGGCGCCGAATCCCTCCGCCTTCTTCGAACGCCGTCGTTCCTGTCCTTGACGATCAACGACCTTAATCCGCAATAATCACTTTCAGTCACCGCTAATTTTATATCTTCCCCCTTCGTTCGTGGTTTTCGGCAACGATTTTTAGGTTCTTGATTAACGCCTTCAACCATAAAAACTGAAAACACAGAATTGAATGGATGAGACTTATCGACCGGATAATTCTGGTGACTCTTCAACAACGGCGAAGATGAGAAGTCCAGAGGTAAATTATTCACTCTATTCTTCTTCTTCTATATGTCTTTGATTCCGTTTATTACAATCTCTGTTGTCGATCTGTTGTGATGCCTGAGATGTTGCTATGTTGATGCAGAGTGAGAGAGTGATTGGAATGTTGATGAAACAGATCAAAGAATGTTGAAGCAGTGATGTGCTTGATGAAGATTGGAAATACGTTGGTGATGATGTGAACTAGAGGTATGCAGTTGAAGATGATTGAACGAGGGTGAACGTTAAAGAGTGGTTTTGGATGAGGATGAAGATTCAAGGAAGGTGCAGAAGAAGTTTCAGAGAAGAAGGAATTGATGATTGAAGGTTGAAGATGAAGATATTTATGTGGTTCTTATAGAGAAGAAGTTCAGAGAGAGAGTAGTTAAGTTTCTGGTGAGTTCTCTATTTTTTGTGAATTTTCTGTTATCGTGAAAAAATGAATTCCCTCCTTGATTTATGTTAGAACTTTGTTATATAGTTTGTTGAATCTGTGAGAGTTGGTTAGAGATTAGAATGAATCTCAGCCCTTGATTGAAAAATCAGTTAGAGAAATAGATGGTCAAATTTTGGTAGTTAAGGGCTCTGAAAGTTAGTTATATTTGTTACAACTCTGTTAGTGATTGCTTTTTCGTTTTCAGTTAGCAGCTTTAACTCTATAAGTAACTAAATCATTTAGGAGATCAGGATTAGCTGGCATTTTAGTTATAACATTTAGGAATTGTTCAAATCTATTATGAAGTTAGTTAGGAACCTATTGCAGTTAGTTGTTTCTGTTGGGAGTTGAAGCTTGGGTTTTGTGAGTGAGCTTTGGTCTTGTCTGTTGAGGGAAGCTGGGGTTTTGTTGATTCGATCTTTGATTGAAACTGCTTATTTTTCCTTCTTTTGTAATAGATGGTATGTTAGAATGGTGCCATATTGATGTGTATGCTTGGTTGTGAACTGATACCGGTACTGAAGCCTGGTGTTGAATGTATACAAACGTGTACGTGTAGGGCTGTTAGGATGTGATGCCACTGGCCTTCTTGTTGGTTGCAGGGCTGCAATAATCAGCTTTGGATGGAGCAATGGTTTTGAAGCAAGGTTGAGATTATGGCCTGAAGTATTGAAGTTCAACTTGATTGAAAGGATGAAGCAAAGTGAAGATGAAATTGCATGAGATTGATGAAGAATGGAATAGATTTATATTTTATGAATTCGATTTTTGTGTAACTTTGTAGTGAATTTTGCTTATTCTTTTAGTTTGAATCTCAAATTTTACTTCAATTTTTCAATTTAGACATCCAATCTTTATTCATCTTGCAATCTTGGATCAAGTATTGATTTTGTAATGCCTAGTCTTTTTCTTCTAATCTCATCTTGAATAAATCTTGTCCTCTACAAAGAAACTTCACCCATCTCAAGTGATCTTCTCCAATTACTTTTCCTTTTGGCTTTAGCATGATGACATGATGAGTTAAGTGAACCGGAGTGAGTTTTGAAACATGGCATGCTCGTAACTTTTCATGAATCAAAATGTAAGTTCCAAATTCCAAGCAAACCAAATTCCCAAATTTTCTAGTTTTGCAACCTTAATCTTGAAATGATACTTGTATGAAAAATGATAAAGGCCTTTGTAATTCGAATTCTCGATGGTCCACTTGACTAGATTTTGAACTCAGATTATATTTTGAATTTGTCACTTGTAAATTATATTCCAACTAAATCATATGCATGAATTCTATTGAATCAATTTTGAAGGAAACATTTCACAATAATGAATCCATTCTCTACTTCACTCCTCAAATTCAAGTTAACTTGCAAACAATCAAGAAGTTGAAGAGATAACAAGGCCTTGACTACAAAGAAACCAAAAACTCCTACCATCTTGTATACTCGCTCTTTAGTCAACAAAATATCGTGCTGAAAACCCAAAACCACACTTAATCATTTGGCAAGTCTCACCACAAGAAGAGAACCATGGTTCAATCTTTTAGACTTCTTGAAAAGAAATGGCTCATCGAGTAAGTAATTAAGGGAAACTTTTCATGATGATGAAATCACAATAAGGAACAGATGACGATCCTTGTAGCTTTAAATAGAAAAACCTAGCACGATGAACTTTTGTTGAAGATCTAATACCTAGCTACAAACAAGATAGGAGAAACCCTAAATGATCTTGCTCTGAGCGCACATTAATGAAGAAGGCTTGAGATAGTGAGAGGGGCGAAACCCTGGCTTCAAAACATTCTCAATGAAGACATGATGAAATCTTGAGCACACGGTAAACCCTAAAGCACTCGTTTCTTGAAGAAATTCGGATGAAGACAACCTTATATCTCAAAGAACCATGCCAGTGAAGATGTCTATGATGTTTGTGATCCAAAACTCTAGTTTCATACCAAGAATGATGAGAACACCAGTTGAATCAACTTTGAGTAAGGTAACAACCTCAATTCATAGAGAAAACTCCAATGCCAAGAGCCCTTTGATCCTGTAACCATGGAATCGATGATATGCATGAGATGTGTATGATTTGATGACAGATCTTAGGGGGAAAAATTGGGATATAACAGAAAGCATTAAAGAGTATCTGCTTGAACCTTCTATCTTGCTCTCTCTTGTTGATGGAAGATCATTGATTATGTATCTGACTGTGTTAGATAATTCTATGGGCTGTATTTTGGGACAACAAGATGAAACGGGAAGAAAAGAATATGCCATTTATTATCTCAACAAGAAGTTTACTGACTGTGAGTCACAATATTCGATGCTGGAAAAAATATGATGTGCTTTGGCCTGGGCGACAAAACGATTGCGGAAATATATGTTGAATCATACCACTTGGTTGATTTCCAAAATGAATACAATTAAGTATATTTTTGAAAAGTCTGCTCTTACTGGAAGAATTGCTCGTTGACAAATGTTGTTGTCTGAATATGATGTTGAATACCATACTCAGAAGGCTATAAGAAGCAGTCTATTGGCAGATTATCTTGCTCACCAACTAGTTGATGATTATCAATCTTTTAAATATGATTTCCTTGACGAGGATGTGATATATTTGAAAGCCAAGCATTGTGATGAACCTTTGCACGAGGAAGGTCCTGATACTAAATCCCGGTGGAGTATGGTGTTTGATGGAGCTGTAAATGCTTATAGGAAAAGAATTGGTTCCATGATTATCACTCCCCATGGGTCACATATCACTTTTACTTCAAGGTTGGCATTTGATTGTACCAATAATATGGCAGAGTACGAAGCTTGTATCATGGGTCTTGAAGAGCCTATAGATCTCAGAATCAAAATTATAGATGTTTATGGCGATTCAACTTTGGTAAAAAATCATATTAAAGGAGAATGAGATACTCGTCACGTTGGCTTAATTCCCCACAAAGATTATGCAAGAAGATTATTACTATTATTTAATAAATTTGAATTCCATCATATTCTCAGAGATGAGAATCAAATGGCAGATGCTTTAGCCACTTTGGCTTCTATGTACCAAGTAAATTCCTGGAACGATGTACCTCAGATCATAGTTTGATGTCTGGATAGGCCAACTCATGTGTTTGCGACAGAGGGAACGTCAGACGAAAAATATTGGTATTTTGATATCATGCATTTTCTCCAGACTCGGGAATACCTGGTTGGTGCTTCGAACGAGGATAGAAAGACATTGAGAAGGTTGTCAGGAAGCTTTTTCCTAAATGAAGATGTGTTATGCAAAAGAAATTATGACATGGTCTTACTCAGATGCGTGGATAAACACAAAGCAAACATGTTGATGCATGAGATCCATGAGGATTCCTTTGGTACCCATGCCAATGGACATTCAATGGCAAAGAAGATGGTTAGGGAAGGTTACTATTGACTGACAATAGAATCTGACTATTACAAATTTGTGAAGAAGTGCCATAAGTGTCTGATTTATGCTAATAAGATTCACGTGCCTCCAACGCTTCTCAATGTTATTTATTTCCCGTGGCCCTTTTTTATGTGGGGTATTGGTATGATTGGAAGGATTGAACTTAAAGCGTCGACTGGACATCATTTCATCTTGGTGGAAATTGACTACTTCACCAAGTGGATGGAAGCAGCTTCCTATGCTAATGTCACCAAGCCGGTGGTAGTACGTTTTATCAAGAACAATCTCATATGCCGATATGGTGTGCCAAGCAGGATTATCACTAACAATGGCTCAAATTTGAATAACAAGATGATGACAGAACTTTGTAAAGAATTCAAGATTGTCCATCACAACTCGTCTCCTTACAGGCTTAAGAAGAATGGGGTTGTTGAAGCTGCTAATAAAAACATTATGAAGATCATCCAGAAGATGGTTGTTACCTATAAGGATTGACATGAGATGCTCCCTTTTGGTCTACATGGATATCGTACATCAGTCTACACTTCAACAGGGGAAACCCCATTCTCTCTTGTGTATGGTATGGAAGCAGTGCTCCCCGTCGAGGTTGAGATTTTCTCTTTGCGTGTAATAATGGAAACCAAATTTCCAGAGGTTGAATGTGTCCAGAACATGTTTGACCAATTTAATTTGATTGAAGAAAAAAGAATGTTGGCTTTGTGTCATGGGTAGTTATATCAGGAGAGAATGAAGTAAGCTTTTGATAAGAAGGTCAAGCCTCGTGAATTCAAAGAAGGCGAAAACTAGGGTTTTACTTTTCTCAAGGAAGATAGGGTTTCTAAGGCCTCAAGTGGATGTCATGGTTTCTTATATGTCTCCAAGAATTCTCATACTAAGGTTCATGCCTTGCATCACAAGTTTGCTCAGTCAATTGCTCAGATGACTGAAAATCAACTGTAATGGACAAAAAGTCAACTGTGGTCAACATACAGTCAAACCTCAAGATTTTTGGTAAACATCAAGATTTTGAAGCCATATTCATCATTTGATCAAGGGTTGATCATGATTCATCAAGAAAACTCTCAAATCATCAAAAATCAAAAGTTGCCAAATTAGGGTTTTCTTAAGAAGAAGTCAACTGAACTTTGACCAAGCATAACTTTCACATCTTTCATCAGATTTTCCTCAACCAAAGCTCATATTGAAGGAAATTTAATTCTCTACAACTTTGTCTCTCAAAGCTCAAGTCCAAGAAATGCTTCATTTGAAAGATATGAGCCAATACATTATAGGTCATTTCAAAAGTCAATAAAAAAACACTTTTTATCAAGGCAACTTACATCAAGATAAAATCTTCAAATGCAAAATTGATCAAAATATAGATTGTAGAGGACATCTTGAGCTTTCCAAAAAGTCTAATATCACCCTCAAATTATGAAATTGAGAGAGTTATGACTAGTGCAAGTTGGAAAATTTTGAGCAAATGCATGAAATCAAAAGTGATCAAACTTGGAATTTTGGGCTATTGGGCTTGTGATTCAAAGTCCATGTGTGTTTTTTTACCTCAAGATGAACCTCAGAGCTTACATACACCCTTTAGGTTTTTATTTTATTTATTTTTGATTTTATTTGTTTAAAATTCAAAATAAATGAAATAAAACAAGGCTTCTTACAAAGGACCAAGCCCATTATTTGGTTGACCTAATTTCATCCTTATATATTCCATATTATTCAGACAAGAGCCACGAAAAATCCTTTCCAAAAAAACCTCTCCAAAATCTCCAAAATATCAAAGAACTAGGGCAACTTGTAAACCCTAATTGCAGCCACTCTCGAAGCAAACTAACCCTTCCATTCACTTCCTGAAGCACAATAGGGTGAGAATGGATCATCCTTTAGGATCCAAAAGGCTCGAAACGCACTGCATGCATCATTGAAGGCATGAATATTGGCACTATCCAAGCTCATGTACCATTTCAGTGCAGCACCAGTCAGGCTATCTTGAAAGAAATGGATTAGTAAACGTTGATCGTCAGTGTGAGTGGACATCCTCCTCACATACATTATCAGATGAACACGGGGGCAAGTATTGCCCTTATATTTTTCAAATTTCGGCACTTTGAATTTCGCAGGTACTTTTACATTTGGAACTAGGCATAGATCGCTTACATTCTGTCAGAACTGTTCTTTTCCCCGGAGGGCTTTCATTTATTTTCGCATCTTATTAAACTGATCTTGGAAGTCATCCATTCTGTCATAGAATCCAATTCCTTCGCTTGGCGGGGGAGTAGGATGGTGAACCACATCATTAA